CTTAACTTGAACATTGATTAAAATCATAGAATTTTTCACTAACTCTTATTTCCAAAGATAAAATAAAATAAAATAAAAAATATCAATAAAAATATATCCATGTTATTTATATACAAATATAGAGGTCCATGTGATTTTATTTTTGCTAAAATGAAAGAATCTTTACTTTCGTGCATAATCTGTCTTTTTGACTTCTATATGTCATAAAAAAATTATATTTTTCTACGCCAAATTTTCAACAATAAATATAAGAATTTTAAATTTATCTCTCTGTATATAATAATAGTGATGTGTCCCGAGCCTATTTGTTGGTGTTTCGTAATCATATATGTCAAAATTTGATCATCTATACCGATCAATTTCTAATGTTTTATCATTGTCCATGTAGAATGCTTACATGCCTTTAGGGGGCCAACAAAATAAATGTCACTATTCATTAACTAATAACACAATTCGCACACAGATTATTTATGCGAATTAATGTTATTTAAATTTAACTTATATTAAATGTCTAACTTTTGTAAGTGAAGTACATAAAATTATTAGTATTTCAGGTTATTAAACTAATTGAAGAGTTAAATTACTAAACAACCGTTTTAGAGATTAGGATTGGTAAAAACCTGTAATGCATTGGTTTGCATTTCCAATCCATTTGGTCAAAGTCAAGTACTCATTTTAGAATAAAATGTCTTCCTCTTTATGGACTTCAACAATGCACTCTGGACTATTAAATTCCCTATAAATATGTTCTTAAGGGCACAATAGATCACTGTGTTGTGTACTAATATGGAGAATATTACATTGTCCATTGTTCTCCTTCTCATATTTCTTCTCATGGCTTCAGCTACACAAGAGAAAAAAGTAATCAATGTTTCTAATTGCAATATATATATATATATATAATTTGTTTCCTATATTAAAAAATATATTGTTACAGGTACACATAGTACACCTGGGAGAGCATATTGATCACAAAACGCCCGAAGAAATCGAAGGTATCCATCATTCGTATCTATCGTCTGTGAAGGAAAATGAGGACGATGCAAAATCTTCTCTTATTTACAGTTACAAGAAAATTAGTGGTTTTGCGGCACTACTAACCCCGCACGAAGCTCATAAACTTTCCGGTGAGCGCAAGAAATTAAATGAATTTATATTTAACGCATTCATATTTTATACTTGTACGTTAATTTGAATGAGAGGTTTTTGGTGTGAAACTTAAACAGAAATGGAGAATGTGATGTCTGTGTTTCAGAGCCACGGACGTAAGAAATCATTGCAGACGACGAGATCTTAGGAATTTTCGAGATTACACGAGCCAACACAAGGGAATGCAGACAAGGACAACTTGTGGTTGAAATCCAAATATGGCGAAAACATTATTATTGGCGTGATAGACTCTGGTATATTTTATCTTATCGATAGAGCTACATTTAATTAACTCTCTATTTATTAAAAGTCCAATGTTCTATTTATCTAGCTGTGTATATGGTTTATGGGACTCTGATCTTGCAATAAATTCTAATATATATATATATATATATATATATATATATATATAAATATCATTTTTTAAAAATGGCAGGTCAAATTTTGGTCAAACACAGTTCAACATTAATTACATTCTATTAATAGCAAGTTTTTGTTCATTTTTTACTTCCAAACAGTCAACGTTAATTGTTGCCCTTAAAAAGTGGAGCTTGTTATTTTTATTTATTATTATTATTATTATTTATTTTTTTTTGCGCATGATCAGGCTGTTCCTTTTTCATTTTCACAAACTAAAAAAAAAAAAACTTTCTTTAACATATACTAGTACGTACCTCGTGCGATACACGAGACAAAGATATTAAATGAGTTATTTTCACAGCCTTGTCCGTTTAAGTCTAAAAAGTAATAATGTTTTTATCTATTTTTTACCTCTTTTAATCAACGTTAAGTCTAAAATTATTAAGCCGCTCTCTAGCAAATATGTACGGAGTTATGTGTTCGTATCTCATAAGTCACAAATATTATGAATAACATTACAAATTATTCATTCAAACTTTTATTCATTGCAAATATATTAAAATAGTTTATGTAATAGCCATTAAATACCACTTTCAATATATTTATAAATAAAAAGTACATAAAATTTCTGGTGTGTTCAAATTTAAATAATTTTTTATGGGCTCAATTTTAAATCATCCAGACATTTGGTTAAACGCATAGGTGTGTTCAAATTTAAATCATTGGCATTTTAGTCGGTTGAAATTTAAATCATCTACCACGGTACTGTGATGTGTATTATATATATATATACATAATTTTTTAACAAATAATATGTGCTTTATAAAAATAATAATAATAATTTCACAA